TCATTGCTCATTAAGGGTATGTCTACACTACAGAACTAATTCGAACTAAGCTAATTCGAACTGATGCATCTAGACTTAAAAACTAGTTCAAATTAGTGTTTTGCTAATTCGAACTAGCGCGTCCACACTGATTGGATGCTGGGTCGCATTTAAGGGCAGCTGAAACCTGTTCCGGCAGGGCATCTGGTCAGTAGTTGCTTTGTGTGGCTGCTGTCTGAGGCTATCTGAGGCTCGTGCTTAAAGGGACCACCCTGGACAGCCGGTTCTCAGCTTTTCCACTTGCTTGCCTACCTCGCCGAGGGACAGCGAAGCATTTTTCTCTGCGCCTGTTTGTGTCGGTGGTTCCCATTGGGGACGCCACCGCAGTTGGCAACATGGAGCCAGAGCTCACTCTGGGCTTTTTGGTGCAGTTTTTGGACTTGCTGATGCAAGCCTGCCAGCAATGGGTGGAGGCTGCCTTGCACCACTTGGTGCACATCAGCCCACTACCTCTCCCCCTGGCAGAAGAGTTTCCCTGATTGTGCCCAGAGTGGCCACCAGGGCAAGCTGGGAAGGGCTAGCCTCCAACTAGCTACACAGCCCTTAATTTGAACTACTTAATTCAAACTAGATGTTAGTCCTCGTAGAATGAGGTTTACCTAGTTCGAATTAAGCGCTCCGCTAGTTCGAATTAAGTTTGAACTAGCGGTTTGCATGTGTAGCGCCTATTAAAGTTAGTTCGAACTAACGGCTGTTAGTTTGAATTAACTTTGTAGTGTAGACATACCCTAAAAGTGCTGTCATATGGGTGGAAATCTGATAAATATTGCATTTTATTACTATTATGGGAACTGACTTAAATGGGGCCGTTGTGTTGTGTAGTCTTGCCTTAATCTTTGTAGTCATGCCTGTTAGTGTGAAAGAAGCTATTTGCATATATTTGCATGTACATGCAACCACACTTAAGTTGCAGCCATCAACATGTGCCGTATCATTGTGGCTCCCAGGGCTTCCAAAGTTAAGTAGCCCTGGGTTAAGCTGTACTTGTCTTACTTGTGTTAACAGCCTCAAAAGTCTACTCAGTATGTGATAGATGACATGTTTATGCAGGCACACCTGCCCAAGAGATCCATCTAATACATATACTTTTACACAAATATACAGTGTAGAGATGTATAAAAATTGTGGTACTTTATTTTTATAAACATGAGCTTGAGGGAAAAATATTTTCCCAAAGCAAAAAGATTTCATCCTGGTATGCGAGTTTGTTTTTCATTAAAAATTCCACACACATTTCTGCATTGTCTTCTAAATAGGAAACTATCATTTTGGACATATGCCATCCAAAGTACTGCATGGGGTTTAATTCATATAATTCAGCCAAACAAAAGAAATGAGAACTGTATGGTAGACACTTGTGTGAATGTCATTGAAGGTTCTAAATCATATTAGAAAAGAAATAAATTCACTTGCTGATATTTTATAACAGAAGACTTGTGTGTAATATTTGGAAGCCCATTTGTCAGGGTTTTTGAAGTATATTGAATTTGGTTTTAGGGACAACACTAAATAATATGACAGCAAACTTCAAACTGAAATCTGCTTATGTAGAAGGTTGACTTTGATCTACATGCTTTTTACCTTTTAATGATTTGACTTGTGGTGATTAATTGTGTGTACAGTAAAAGTTTTGACTGAGTTGAGTACTACAGAGTATCACTGCATTTAGGATAGATGGCTGCCCCATTTAGAATCAACCCAGAAAAGATGGATTTTTAATTAAAACATGAAGTGTAAAACTTTCCAATGCCGGAGTCAATCTACTTTTCATGAAAATATAAATGTACATCTTGAAGAACTTAAGGGTGCTTTGTGTGTGTTACTGTGGTAACTAAAGTAAACCTAAACTTAGTGCTTATGTTTCCATGGAAAATAAAACACGTTGTAGACTATTTTTTTAACTGAGGTAAATAGGTTGGTTATCCTGAAAAATGAGGATTTTAATGTGTATGTTGGAAATATAGAGCAAACTTTTCAGTTATACCAGTTGTCTGACCAAAAGGTACCTTCATCTCTGTTACAGGGAATCCTATGAACAAATCTGTTTTCATGGGAATCTGAAGCGGACTAGTTCAATTCTAGACAAATCATGAACAGCACCCTATAATTTATGTAAGGGCCAGAGTGGTTGAAAAAGGTTAAACCTATTTTCACCTTCACTACACCATTGCTTTGCAGTGATCTCAATTTAGCACGATATGTTGAATGTGGAATGATCAAGTCTCATTTGTATAGTGTATTTATGACATTAAAAGATAAGACAGGAAATTGATCTGAATTTGTGACATTTGTTTCATTGTTATGCAACTGCTGTATAAAGATTTGTGTACTAAAACAGATTTTACACTGTTGCATGGAATCAAGTAGATTAGTCATTTAATATCCTCTCTTAGAAAGTTGCATCCTACCCTGGCAGACCTTGTGATCAGGGCCAGATTCAGGGAAAGGTGGGGGGCTAGCCGGGCAGCTGCCCGGGGTGCCAATCTATGGGGGGGCACCTGATGGCAGTTCTAAGGG